AAAAATTAATTAGTGGTTGCTAAAATAAATTTATAACACTTCAAGGGATGATAATCAATAGAAATGATGATACCTACCCCTTGCTCTTAAAAGCTTAAGAGGCAAGTAAGATGAAGGGAATTTAGTTGCTAGTGGAGCACAATGAATATCAAACTAATGATATTGACAAGCAATATCCACACAATCAATATATATTAAAGGTTAATAATAATTTAGGTACTTAATTTTATGCTCTATCTTTGGGTTAAATTTGTGGGCTCCACAAAATCTAAAATGCACCTCATTCATGATCTTACGATCTTCATCCTTCCTAAGGTAATGTTGCCACGTATCGTTATATGTACATTGGCATAATTGACACTCTTCTTGATTTAAAAAGCAATCAGAAGTATACCATTAAAGAAGTAATTTATGAAGGGTTGTATCTAATCAACCTCTTCACTTTCAACCATAATAATGATCCCACTATTGGGTACCACACCATTTATATGTTTGATATCAAGATTAATTGGGGATATAACTTGTCTATTCAAAATTGAAATGTTCATAAGATCACTATCTATGAAAGATGGCCATTTGTTAATTTAGAGAGTTCACATTCCATGTTATTCTAATCATTGGGCACTTGATTCGAAACAACTTTAAGGATGTGTTGGAATAATTTCATGCTTAATTGTAGTATGTTAAAAGACTAGACTTAAGGCCCTCATTATTGAAATAAAGTTAACAAATTTCACCAAGAAGCACATCATTCTTTACTTCTCATTATAAGAAATATTTATAATATTTACAACTATTTTTTTAAATGCAAAATAAGATGGAAAGTGAGAGACAGCTAGCCACTAGATTTTGAGGGAGAGTGATGTAACCGATATGCAAATACCACTTTGTTTTCTACTTAGGCTAGTCAAACATGAATGGATAATGTTTATTTGATTTATTTTATGCAAATAAACATTTTTAAATTCATGAATATAAAATTCCCTCAATATTTAAAAAAGTTAAACTAAACCTTAAGTTTTCAAAATCTAAATATTTAAATTCAAAAATTTAAAATTAAAATCAACATTTCAAATTATACTTGTAACTATAAAATTAAAATTACAATTACACAATCTTAAACAACAATTATAATACACATAAAATATGAGTTCTACTTACTAGACTGCAGTTTTCTCCTTGACATGGCAGTTGAAACATGAGTGGCTCTCTTCTTATTCTGAGCTCTAATTATTGGTCCATTTCTTTTTTTACATGGCACCTTGTGCCTCATTGATCCCCTATACTTAAAAAAACTCTTCTTTGAAGCGTTCTAATTAATGTAGTCATCGATAAGTTTTGATGTAACCTTCTCTAAGTTATCTATAATAAATGAAGTGTCATTTATTGGTGGTTTGTCCTTCCACCTCATAAGAAACTTATGTCCCCATCTTTATTTATTTATTTTTTTTTTCATCTCATCTATGATAATACAATCAACGTCAAAGTAGGAATATTGGGTAGGCGCTTGTAAGCAATTGTAAATGATGATTTTTTCCTCTAGCACAAGAATCAACATGCATATATGGAGTTTTGCTAACTTCCTAATATGATATTAAATTCCTCATGTTAAAAGTAAAGCCAATAAATATATGTGTTTGTGCTAAGTTTGATAATAACCTCAAATGACCATGTACTCTAGCTTGTAAATTTTTAAATTTTGTAGAGGAATACCTCTTAAGTATTGTACTAATTAACACATGATCTCTAATTTCTTTAAAAATATTATTTTATTTCTTACATTAATATATTTTGTATTATTCACTTCTAATTATCACATAACATTACCATGAAGGTTTAATTTTTTTTGTTGTTGTTGCAAAAGTTAGTGGTAAATATGAAAATGCATGTGAAGGTATGCTACCAAAATCAATTGGTTTTTATTGGGATGTATTCATAGACTATTTCAAATGGTATTTTATTTGTGGAGCTTGAAATAGTATTAGTTTATGCAAACTCTACTATGAGGTGTAGGTATCAAATTTTTAAGATTTTATCCACCAAACTTCTTAAGGGATTTCCTAATATCCTATTTACTATCTTAGACTACCCATTCATCTAAGTGTTAAATGCTAATGAAAATTTTAATATAATGCCATTAATTTTCAAAATATTTTTTAAAAATATGATATGCATTTAACAACCATATCAGAAATCTTTGTAATAGGAAGCCCATGAAGTCTAACCTTATTATATGGGATGCATCATCATATTTTGAGCTAGGAAAAGAATGAGATATTTTGGAGGAAAATAATCAACTACAATAAGTATGCTATCATATCTCCTAGAGGTTCACGGAAGGCCAAGTACAAAGTCTATAGAAATATCTTGTTAGGGCTTAAAGAGTATAAGAAAAGCATGGTATTTTCTTGATTTTTATTTTGTACTTTTGCTTCCCTATAAGTATATCACTAAGTGACAACCTCCTAATGGTCTCTTTTTTAGAAAGGCTAGAAAAACTTATGCTGAAGCATGTGTATAGTTTTGGACTTTCCAAAATATCCTGCTACTTTCCATAATGTAATTCCATAATGAGAAATATCCTCATATATATCATAGGAAGACATAATCTTCTCCCCTTATATAAGCATCCCTCAATCAACACATACGAACCATCAAAAAACATGTCTTTTTGGACATGCTCTAAATATATCTAATGGAATTATAGAAATTTATTATAATCATTCTTTTGTTTTTCAAATTATGAAATTTAAAATTCTAAAGGCATGAGTACCAAAGAAAGCTTGAAAAGAGCATTTGTAAGCTTATTTTCTACTCAAAGTTTATATTTAAGCATAAAGGTAAAAAATCTTTTGGTATTCTGCTCATTTAACATGCCTAAAATTTAACATCATCTTAATATATATAACTTTAAGTGCATGGTGCTTTGTATTGAGAATAAACTCCTTGTGTAATAAGTAATGCTTTTGATGTTTGAGAGAGTAAATGATCACATAGAATTCTTTATCATTTGATAAATATCTTTATCTTGCATCACTCAACTTCTCACTATAGAAAGCTGCTAATGATTCTCTTGAATAAGCATGCCTTCTATATGTACACCAAAAATATCACAAGTGGCCCTCAAAAGTTTATTAAAGTTTGGGAGCCTAAGACATGAGCTAAAATAATGAGAAAGTCATGAGAACTTTTTTTTTTTGTTTCATGACTTTTTGTGTTTATGAAGTTCATGCCAATTTATCATTTTCTAGGAGATTTATTATAGGAGCTATAATAATGCTAATATTTTAATATAACTTTGGTAGAAAGTAGCCAAACCATAAAAACTTCTAACATTTGTGAAATTTTTGGGGTCAACTAATGAAGAATAACCTTAACTTTTTTAGAATATACTTTCAATCAACTAGTATACATAAAAAATTCAGAAAGATTACCTCAACCTAACTAAAGAAACACTTCTTAATATTGACATGAAGCTGTGTCTCTCTAAATTTGGACAAAACTAGTTCAAGTGATTTAAGTTAACACTATTAATTACCAAATTGAACTTCATAAAAGGGTTGATTTGAATCAATTAAAATATGATTAATCAATTATAATGGATTTCAAGGGTTTTATAAGCCCAAAATGGTCAAATTGGTTAAAATGGCCTATGAGATTCAAATGAATCAACTTATACTAAGTGGGATAATTGGCTAAATCAAAAAAATCTCGCACATAATTCATATTTTTTTAGACTATTGGATTTCATTTGAACCCTACCATCCAATCAATTTGGCCATTTTAAAGGCATATGTCCCATTGGGCTTACAAGGTCTATTTTGGCTTAATTGTGTTAAACAATCCAATTAGGCCAAACAAAAAATTTATTTAGTTCAATTTGCCCATTTCTAATCTATCATTAACTATTGGTAGGATTAATTAAGGTTAATTATCTCAATTAAAGGGGTTGGGTCCTATTTACTTGATTATGTTCTATTAGGATAAAATAGGGTTCAAGACATCCTAATATTATTTAATGGTCAATTGGGGTTAATTCATCTATAGTTTGATTACTAGAACCCTTCGGGAAGGTCTTCTCCAATCAATTGGTTTAAAACTATTAATTGAATTTGGTGCTCCAATGCTTTTGGCCAAACTTAGGCCTAAGGATCAAGCTCAAGAGATCCAATGGCCAAACACAATCAACATAAATGAAACTAAATCATTGGGGATGAAAACTGAATGCTTATATTACCAATTATGTCTCTTAGTCCAATTAGGGTTAAGCTAAATTTATGTCTAATATTGGGTTAGCTATGGCCAAGTATTATGAAAATGATGAATTTGTTTGAGAATTGACTGATCAATATCGATCCTCTCATGTAGGTTTTGTTAAGTTCAAAGGATCCTATGATCATTCTAAAGCTTTGTTCTAGGTAACCTAGATTATGGGATGGATAGGATTTCAAGCCAAGCCTAGCTTGGTTTCAACCAAGGAATGAGTTGAGGTCATAAATTGAATTGAAATAAGATAAATAGCTTTCATCATCTAAAAAGAAAGCTAAATGATCATATGAGGGGTATTGGCTTAGTTAATCTCAAATGATATAGATTGAGCATGACCAACTTATCCTACCATGAGAAACAACTTGAACTAATTAGACCCAAACACTAATTAGCATTGGGAGTTTTTATAATTTTGATATCAATAATGGGTTTTTTTTTTATAACTTTTGCATGAATTTTTGTATTGTTTCAATTTAGTTGATGTCTAATATATGAATATTGGACAAATTAATCATTAGTTTAATTTATTTAAGTTGCCTCAAAACAATTTTTTTTTGCCTCATATATATATATATATATATATATATATATATATGATTTTAATATTAAAATAAAATATGAATAAATATAAAAAATTAAACATTAAATACATATTTTTATATATGAATGGAAATGCCCTAATCTTGTGCTCAAGCATTAATAGGATCGAGATGTGCTAAGCCAAGTTTTAAATTTTCCCCGCAGGAGCTTCGCCCACACCTTCGTCTTCTTCCGCTTGCAATTATCCTCCTCTACTCGTCAATGGCTATTTTATCTGCTTCTCTCCACGCGTATGGCCTACAGGCTTATTGCGACAAGGAGGGAATAAGAATCTGGCAGGTTGATGAAAGGGACGGGCGAGAGAACTTGGCATCCGGCCGGTTGAGGAGGATACTACGAAGGAATTCGAATCGGGCTCGATTTACGTCCTCATAGCCCTTGTAATGGATTCTCTTCCACTTCCGCTTCCTTTAAATTCGAATTTCTCGTCTTCTTCGCGGTGGAAGCTTCTGTCCAGAGCTCCGAGATGTCAAATGATTGATCAAACGCTCCCCTATTCTTCTTATTGTAAGTTTGATATGTTCTTTCTCTATAGTTTGATCGGTATCTCAAAAGAGAGAAGTGCAGTTTTGGATTTTCTTTTTAAAATGTTGAACCTCTTTGCATAAACGAATAAACTCGCGTTTTTAATAATAACATAGATTAAGCTATTAAGTAATAATATGATCATCTTTAAAGGAACGTTTTGTTGAGTTCAACAAGCTAATTGCTAATAAATAAGTCATTAACATTCTGGGACTATTTTTTTAATGCACTGTAAAGCTGCTTTTTAGCATAAAAATCTTTTAAAAATAAGAAAAAAGTAATGTTCTAAAGCTGTCTCAAATTAAGCCTCAATCTTCTTCATTAGTGTGGGAAGCATTAAAATTTTTGTTCAAATTTCTTCATTATCTAAGAAAAAGAAGTTTATTAAGTTTTATATGAACGAGTATCAAATTATTCTTATTCTTGCATATTAATTCATTGAGAGCATCCATGATCCAATTGGAGTATTTTGGGCTCCTCAACACTCTAGAAATTAAAGAAAAAGGAGAGAGCAAATAAAAAGTTGAAAATTTTGATAATTTATTTCAGGCCATTAACCTCCCTAAGTAGGTGTATTTATAGTAAAAAAAGAAAAAAAAAGAAAAAAAAGTAGGCGTGTTTACTATTTATAGAAAGCTAACTCCAACTAATCAACTCCAACTAACTTGCAAACTTCTAAGCAACTAAAAATCCCCTGATTTGCATCCTCTCATGCTCGTTTCGTTGGATTATTTGAACGCTGGCATGTAAAGTAGTTACATATATAAAACAGTAAAAGGACTTTTTTTTAATATAAAAATTTTAAGGCAATGGAAGACGTTTTCATGCTATAAACAAACCAGAAAGGAACATTAGTTGCGTGCAAACGATGATGATTGGTTGTTTCTCTATTATTTTTAAGTGCTTAACGTTTTCTAAAAACACCAGATTTTTAAATTGGGCACTCTTTGTCCACCACCGTCATTTATGGAGCCTGCGTTTATTTAGTGATAGGCCTACCTATTTGTTTCGTCCAGCTGTGGCCTTTAGTTCTTTATGTGGTTAGAATGTCTTCATCCTTTGTTAGGATTGTTTAAAAAATAACCACTTAGCCATTATGCCTAACTTCTGTTATTGATTCCAGTATTTGTATAAACAAATGGCGCACTATTACTAATATTTTCATGCATGACAAAACAGTCAGTTGCTGTGCCTTTTTTTTTTCTTTTTCTTTCACTAATTTCTACTTTCCAGATTAATGCCTTATAATATACTTCTCTTCCATAGCTAATCTTCACCTGGAGGATCCCAAGTGGCTGGGTAGTGGGCAGCAAGTGAGCTTGAAAAGGTATAGGTACAAAACCTCGGCACAGAGCCTAAGGCAGGCAATTAGCTTAATGAATTTTTTTGTTCTTCTTCTAATTTATTTTTAATCTGTTTTGTGTTGGACTACGTCATAGGCCAGGATGAATGCATTGGCTGCAACAAGTAGAAATTTCAAGCAGGCAGCCAAGCTGCTGGGTTTGGACTCAAAGCTAGAAAGGAGCTTGCTTATTCCTTTCAGGGAGATCAAGGTAAATGAAATGTAACGGCTGAAATTCTCTTCTTTGCTCTAAGGCTTTGTTTGGGATAGCTTTTTTATTGTTTCTTAAAAGCCTTAGAACAAAGAAGCTACTTTAAGAAGCAGTAAGAAAGCCGTCCCAAACGAAGCTTAAAACACTACGCCTATCTTCTATTCGTTCGTAAACTTTTGCTGTTACTTCTGAAGGACAGTGTGCATCAGGACATTTCATGGACTGATATGTCACTAAGCAAGTGCGGGAACTTTTTATTTCTATTTTTGTTTTGCAAGTCTGGATTGAATTGTGGCTGGGAAGTGCTGATGCATAAATTTATTTCCATCCTGATCTATTTCTTAATAGTCTAGTATCACGATATTGGCCATGGTCATCGATATATTCTCTTTAATTTGTTCTCCTCGCTGTATTAGACATGCTATGTCGATTACTTTTATCGGTCACTCAGCTTTCTATCCTCTTATTTTTTTAAAGAAACTACAATTTTGACATGTAAATAATCTTTATTCACTCATCAGATACTTATCTTACTACGAGCTCTACTATTTTGGATTCTTTTATTTATCTTAATATGAGATCTAGTTGACAGTGTATGACTGTCTAAGTTCCTTATTTACAGTGATGATAGTTTCTCTTGTAGTATTATTTTCACCCTGTTCATTTGTTCCTGAGCTATTTTCAAATTTTGAATACAGGTTGAGTGTACAATCCCTAAAGATGATGGTACGTTGGCATCCTTCGTGGGATTTAGGGTGCAGCATGACAATGCTAGAGGCCCTATGAAAGGAGGAATTAGATATCACCCTGAGGTCGGCTCATGATCATTCTGTACCCTTCATTGTATTCCCCTCTATTTTTATTTTTGTTTCATAAACCATCGCTAAATATAATTAGCAGTTAGAAGGATGGTGGTCATATTTGTTGCTTTTGTTTTATCATTTTCATACGAGCTTCACCGCATAATTGCTTTCCCACATAATATTAGCCACTTTAAAGAATATTAACAAAAATATTTTTGTGAGTAAGATTTTAGATCTTAAGATTTTGTCTGTGCATGAGGATGCTAATATTATGTGGGAAAAAGTGGCTAGTGATATTAAGAATACTGCAAAAGATGTGCTTGGAGTATCAAAGGGAAAAGCTCCTAATAGTAAAAATAGTTGGTGGTGGAATCCAATTGTGCAAGAAAAGATTAAAAATAAGAAGATTTGTTATAAAAATTGGTTTAATCTTAAAAATTCTGATAATTGAGAATTATATAAAGTGACTCGTAAGGATTCTAAGAAAGCAATATGTGATGCAAAGACATTAGCTTTTAGCGATTTATATAATAGATTAAATACTAAGGAGGGAGAAAGATATATGTATAAGTTAGCCAAACAAAGAGATAGGAGTAGTAAGGATTTAGTTCAAGTGAAGTGTATTAAGGATGAAGATCAAAAAATACTTTTCTTAGAAGATGATATTCAACAAAGGTGGATGAGATATTTTGCTAAACTTTTTAACGAAGAGTGTGAAAATAAGATTGACTATAGTGACCTTAGCACCCTAAATGAAAGTAAAGATTTATGTTTTTATCGGCGTATTAGTAAAACTGAAGTTAGAGAGGCTTTAAATAGAATGAAGGGTGGAAAAGCTGTTGGACCTGATGATATTCCAATAGAGGTGTGGAAATGCTTAGGAGATGAAGGGATTTCTTGGCTTACTAAACTTTTTAATACTATTTTGAAGACTAAAAAGATGCCAGATGAGTGGAGAATGAGTGTATTAATTCCTATTTTTAAGAATAAAGGCGATGCACAGGATTGCACGAATTATAGAGGTATTAAGTTAATGTGTCATACTTTAAAATTATGGGAGCGAGTTATAGAGCATAGGTTGCGGCGTGATACTAATGTTTCTCAAAATCAATTTGGATTCATGCCGGGTAGGTCGACTATGGAAGCCATACATTTATTCAGAGGTTTGATGGAAAAATATAGAGGAAATAAGGAGGATCTACATATGATATTTATTGATTTAGAAAAAGCATATGATAAAGTTCCAAGAGAAGTGCTATGGAGAGTTCTTGAAAAGAAAGGAGTCAATAATGCTTATATTCAAATCATTAAAGATATGTATGCAGGAGCTATTACTTGTGTTCAAACACAAGGTGGATTGACCAAGTATTTCCCTATTTCGGTTGGGTTACATCAAGGATCAGCCTTAAGCCCATATCTATTTGCTTTAGTCATGGATGTTCTCACTAGACATTTGCAAGATGATGTACCTTGGTGTATGCTTTTTGCTGATGATATTCTTCTTGTTGATAAGACTAGAGAGGGAGTTGAAGGTAAACTTGAATTATGGAGGTCAACCTTAGAGTCTAAAGGTTTTCGCTTGAGTAGATCTAAAACAGAATATATGGAGTGACTTGTGTTAAGAAAGGTAGGGGTAGACCTAAAAAGACTTGGTTAGAAAATATTAGGAATGACCTTTCTTTATTAGATTTAAACGAGAATTTGACTTTTAATAGGACACAATGGAGAAAAAGGATTCATGTAGCCGACCCCACGTAGTGGGATAAAGGCTTGATGTTGTTGTTGTTGTTGTTGTTGTTGTCTTCACCGCATAAGTTGAGGGGAGTATGTTGGTGTTATTCTGAAAAAAATGTCTGCAGGTATTTATTAAGGAATCTAAGCAATTACGGACATAGTTTATAACATTGGCAACTTTTGGTGGAAGGATGTTGCTTAATCGTTCATTGTAAGGAATTAGTTTGTGCTGTCACTATGTGTTCGGTAATATTATTCTTTTGAAAAGATTGTTGTTGTAAACCACTATTTGTCCCTTTGATTAACAGAAGTTTTTAAAATTAAAAAAGACAAATTAAGAAATGATTATATTAGAGGGATGATTTAAGTAATATTTATTGAAGATAAAGCATTTGAAAATATACTTGCTTGATTTATGCTCGCCTATGTTGCACCGACACACCTACTTATGAAGGTATGCAGTGTTGGACGTGTGTTCGAGTAGGACACGCGTCAGACAAGGCTAAAAGGTGTCCGATTAAAAAATATTTAAGTTTAAACGGACATGTGTGTCCAAATATTTTGAATGATATTTAATTAAAAAAATTTAAAGTCTTTTAATTAAATAAAATGAGCCGAACCACGCACATCTATGTTATCCCGTATCATTTCGTATTTGAAGTCTTTTTCATTTCTGCGAGAAGACGAGGGTTTTGCGTCATCTTCTTCGTTTACGCAAGCAGGCTAGATCAAAGGAGCTTGCGTGTTCATTGCCTTGTTTATTTTTCGAAGGCAAACGAAGTCGAATGTTCAATTGAAGGTTGGTGTTCATCGTATTCTTCATTTCCTCAAGCAGATAAGGACGCATGAACATCGTTCTGTCGATTGAAGCTTGCTTGGTAGTCATCTTCGTCATTTTCGTAGGCGACTAGGGCATCTGACTCGTTTGATTGTGTCTGCATTGTAGAAAGTTTGTGTGTATGTTCTGTAAGTTGGCTTAGAAGATGTAGGATGCTCTTTATTTATTTTATCTTTTCAATTTCACACTCTTATTTGTCATTTTGGTGATTGTTCTTGATTTATTCTAAGTCAATAGTGATTGACATTCTCAGCCCTCCGCAACTAATGATCTAAGTTAGGAATAGCATATGATCCCAAATGCAAGAAGTTCTTTTGAGTTCTTGGATTAAGGTTTACAAAACCATTCAATTTGTTGAAGTTCTTTATTATTATTATTTTTTAAATTAATAGTATATTATTCATTGTTGATTATTTATCCCAAATTTTACTACTGATTTTTATACATAATAGAATATGAGTTTTGCTTGCCTATGACAACAGACCTTTAAAAACTTCATCTTGTATTTTAGTTACTTTTTTTATCAACTTTCAAGTTGTAGTCTATAGGATTTCTGCATTTCTAGTATAAGATCTCCACATAATCCTACTACATCAAGTTCAATATTAAGAGCATAAGTTGCATTTTATGGTCTCTTAATATGAAAATCCTATTATTCCTTTTAATGAGTAGTTAAAGTTTGATGTTGTACTAAATAATTTTTACTTATATTTTGCTAGACATTTTATATTATAAGCTGACAAGTAAGTATGATATTGATTTATTATGGATTTTCATTTATAATATGATGTTATATTAATTTCTATATACTATTTAAAAATTATAATGTCATGTATGTACTGTATCAGTGTCCTATATTTTCATTTTTCAGTGATAGCTGTGTCCCGTGTATGTGTAGTGTCATGTCAGTGTCACCGTGTCCATGTTGGTGCATCATAGATGCTCGTACAACATGGGAAAAATACGACAATTAGATGGGATGAAAAATAAGTATTGAGAGATTATGATATAAAATAAGTAATAATAATATGGATAAAAGCTATTCAAAAAGATTTGCAAAGAATATCTTTAACACATCATGCAATACTCAACATGAACAATTGAAAAATGATGATTCATTGTTGAACTCTAACCACTGATCGGCCCCACTTACCCAAACTAAGCTTTCAAACGAGGCTCACGCATGATATTCCCAAGCATGTTAAGCCCAAACAACACCCGCTTGACTCCTCTTAATTAAAGATGCGTAAAAACCGCTTCCCCTCTCATTCCATTCAAAAAAACTCAACCGCATGCTCGCTCCCTCTCATCTCGTGGTCATCTCCCTCAAGTCACACATGCAAGGAAGCCGCTCGAGTCTCCCTGCCCGCTCCCTTGCATGCGATATGTTGGCCCATCTCCCGCGTGCACAACCCTTATGTCGACCCAAGACTCACGAAAGAATCCTTCCCTGTTCAACTCCTTTCCACACTTTTAACTTGAAGACTTGTGTCGTTGTATCTTAGATCCGGTCAGGAAGAATTTGAATTGAAGACTTCGCGCTGTCGTATCTTAGATTCGGCAAGGAAGAACCAAAGATAAGTGCCTCCCAACCTCCCTTCGAGGGGAGGGGATGTCAGTAGGCTACCAAAATTTCAAATGATAAAGGATCCCCATATAAATTATAAAAAAATAATGAATAAAAAATAAAAATAATAATTAGAAAAATAAGTTTCATTTCATAATTAATTAAAAATAAAAACTATACAAATTTCAATTAATTTGAAATGAGGCAAAAATGATCTGATTCGATTTGAAGTTGACTTGATATATGGTGCATAGAAATCTATCCTATGTTAAAGAAAATTAATATATTAAGGATTGAAATTGGTATCAGGATCTTTAAGGAGTTAGTAATTTTCATTTTTTTATAACTCATCAAGATCTTGCACTTAAAGAAATAGCAAAATTGCTTGGGCTACCCTCAAATCATGAATGATAATGATTACATAAGCAAATCATACACCAAAATCACTTGCAGGATAATTTGAGAAGAACACTTGTGGAATTATAGTTTATGGAGATATCACTTAATGGAAAATCCTGATAGATGATACTTCATATAATGATGAGTTTGAAAAACCTATGTTAATTCAAATCAATCTATTGTATATTTCAACTTCAGACGGAATCTGCTAATGAGCACCTTCTCTCAAGAAATGCATGCTATTATGACCTGGTTCGGAGGCTCGAATTAATGAAGCGGGAAGTTTATGAAAGGGGGATTGATTTAGAAAGAGATTAATTAGGAAGAATTTCCTAATTAAAATTTAAATTAGAAAGAGAAATATATTAGGAAGGGGGTGGGGGGTGATTTTGGAGGGACATAGGAGAAGCTTATTTAGTGCTAAGTTTAGGGTTTGTTTTGCTTATGCAGAATTTTATTTGAGAGTTATTGCAGTTTTCTTTTTGTGAGGGCTTTTTAGTGGCTTCTATATTGTTTGGGAGAGTTGATATACCTCTCGAATGGTAGATCGCTTGTATATTTCTTTTTTATGGAAGTTATAATAAAAAATCAGTCATTTATATCTATATTACTGCAGTTTTTTCATTGTGTTTGCTGTTTGTCTCCAAGATGTATCACATTCATGCTCATGTAATTCTATATGTAATGTACACAGTGCACGGTCTGGGTCTTTTTCATGATCTATACTAGGTATCTGTGCTCTCTTAAATATTTAGTTATTTATGTTGTAAGAGTCCTGATTTCAGTCAAATTTGCAACAAGAATTCAATTGCGATGTAAAATTCAATTGATTGTTGATTTTTGTGGATAAAATTTCTCATTATTTGTTGGATTTATACGGTCATTGTATTATCTTTTTAGTTCAATTTCTCGTAATTTCAGATTTACTCCTGAAGGTAGATTTTTTTTGTAATTAATGCTTTTTGTGAACTTAGCAGCCTTTTATATATGAATTCTCATTTATTCGGTGTGATCTATATTCATAGTGTAATTTTGATTGCATTAAAAATCCTAAAACCCTTATGCATTCTCCATTATTGCACACATGCAAATACTAATTGATTCTGATGGCAAATACTAATCGAGTCTGATGGCTCATTTACATACCCAAAGCCCATACGTCTATGCTCACAGTTCACAAGAACACAAACAAAAACGCCCAAATATAGTGGAAAACTTCAAAAATAATTGAACACAATCCTGTTAGAGGTATATCTTATTCTCCTCTATTTTCCTTTGTGCTAAACATATCTTGTTAGTGTTCTTTCAAACTATTTTTAAATACAACCAATATATTTTTTTACATTTTCATGTCAAATCAGTCACTGTTGCTTCTTGTACTAAATTATAAATCTCTGGTTCTGAAATTCGGGAGATTTATGAAATGCAGGTTGACCCAGATGAGGTGAATGCCCTGGCACAATTAATGACCTGGAAGACAGCCGTAGCAAATATCCCATATGGAGGAGCAAAAGGTGGAATAGGATGTGCTCCGGAACAATTGAGTGTTTCAGAGCTTGAGAGACTTACTAGGGTTTTTACACAAAAGATACATGACCTAATTGGAATTCATACTGATGTCCCAGCTCCAGATATGGGAACAAACCCACAGGTCCCTGCAAAAAAAGAAGTTTTTGATTCCTCCCCCCCCCCCCCCCCCCCCCTTTTCCCCCCCCCCCACACACACTATTTTGCTTAAAAACTTCTTTATATTTGACTATACATAATTTAATTTTCTTTTGTTGGCATACTGGAAACAGACAATGGCTTGGATACTGGATGAATACTCCAAATTCCATGGCTACTCGCCAGCAGTTGTAACTGGAAAACCCATTGTAAGTAACAGCACAATTATATCTAAATTATGCCAATTATTTTTGTATCCGAGCATTGAATCAGCAATTTTGCTATGAATAACAAAGGTTAGATCAGGGAAACATGTACATGTTTCCTGGCTGGTTGATTTGTAGTTTCTTACTTTGTTTTTTTTAATCAGACATGACATTTAGTGAATTCTTTCTCTGTTTCCTTTTGAATTTACATTGTGAAATGAACTTATCATCTCTTTTAGGGAGAAATATGTATTATATATATACCTTGAAGCTTTTTTCAGCAAGGCTCAATGATCAAAATCAACTAGTTTTTGGGAAATTGGAATCCATAAGCAAGTGCGCTTGATGGTAAGGTTGTATTTAAATGGAAGATGGGGAGAGCGCTTATACAAAAGCTGTGGTTAATTTAAAATTATTGGAAGAGCTTATAGATCTTTTCCCTATTGTCTTAACCTTCACAATATTTTCCTTGCTTCATGAGGATTGGAACTCTTTATTTATTTGTTGATGGGTGATTTTGTAATATAAAGCTGTATCTGATAACTCCTCTTTTGTTACTTTCAAATTTCAGTGTTATAATAAAATACTTTTTAACATATGAAACATAAACATGCATATGAATTTGTTGAAGTGCATGTACATATCTATCAATAATCATGCCAACTTCAAAATTTAGGTCCTTAAACTAATGAAGATTCTTATTCTAGATATTAGGAGTTCATATAAACCCCTACTGCAAGTGCTCTAAGATATAACCAGTTGCATATATTTCCTGCTTTGAATATAGGATTTACTGTCATGATAGTATCATATATCTTATATTTCATTTTTCATTTATGGTACTTTGTTTTTTTTTCTTTGCTTGCTAGATATTAATCATTATCCTTTTTCGCATTGAAGGATCTTGGTGGATCTCTGGGTAGGGATGCAGCTACTGGAAGGGGAGTACTTTTTGCTATACAAGCTTTGCTTGAAGAGTATGGGAAGTCCATCTCGGATCAGCGTTTTGCTATTCAGGTTCATATACTGATTCCCACGTTTGTAGTACACGATTTAAAGATTATTACCTGTAAATATTCTTGCATTGATTATTACCTGCAAATGCAAATGTTCAAAGCACATTTAAAGTGAATATCTATTTATTATTATTATAAATTTATTTTTTATTTATAATTAATATTTATACTTAAATTAATTAAAAACATTAAAAAAATTTGGAATATTTAGCATGAGCATGTTTGCCTTTTTTGTTGCAGTAAAACGTCAAATTTTATCCTTTTAATTAATTAAAAAAAATATTAAATCTTAAGTCTTAACCTACCTGATGGGGACATTAGAGCGTGGAAAGTCTATCAGAGACGTGGCCGTCGATCTACGACCACGATTGAGTCGATGTACTTCTGAGTCGTATTATGTATTTTCTTTATTATTATGTTATGTTGTATTTGCTTTATTAGTATTTTCGTTTTTACCCTTTTACTTAAGGGAGGTCATATGTAAGCCCAGAGGGCATCGTCGTCTTTTAGTTTCTTGAGTCTTTTGTACGATGCTATATATAGCCCTCTTGTTCTCTTTTCATGTTAATAAATGATTACTATTGAAATTCCAACTTTTGTATTTCTTGGTGTGTTCGTGAGTTTTGGAGAAGAGCCTTGGAGAGGCTAATCATATTACCCAACAACCACCCTCGAGTGAGTTCTTGATTCTCTAACCTGTCCCCCACTTTTCTCTCCTTTGTACCCGTCGGCCAAGGATCACCACCAAACCCCCACCACCCACCTCCTAAATGCCACTTCCCCAACCCACCGCCGGCCCACCCTAAGCCTTTCCCTCCTTGTTTTCTTATTTCCTAATATAGATTGAATATAATTAGGATTAATTTTGAATTCAAATCCAAGTAATTTGAAATTCAAAATCTTTCCTAAAATATGAAATCTATTTTAGGAAAGTCTTTAAACCTCATTCAAATCAAATTTCAGTTGAATGAGATTTAATTTCTCTTCCCTAATTTAAGTTTCCCAATCAAAGAAAGCAATAAACACTTGCCATAAACCCCTCGCCCTCCTTATTGCCGCCGGCCCCCCTTATTAAATCCCACTGGGATTTATTTCCAAATCTCTCAATGCTCTCTTGGAAATAATTCCGAATTCCCCTCCATCACCCTTGGCCGAAATTTCCCAATCCCCTACACCCCTTATTTCCTTCCTAAAGCAAACATTGAGATTTGGAAACAAACCCCCTAAACCCCTTATATACCTGCCACCCCTACCTTCCCTCTCTCCTCAATTAATTCTGATTGACACCTTTTCACTCCACTTTAATTTCCCACCCCTGGGCCGGCCAACCTCTCTTGCCTTCTCCTACTTGAATTCTTGAGAGAAATCTCTCTCTTTCAAAGGAGAAACGACAAGGATAGCAAAGGGGCATTTCCTTCAACGCTTCGACCCAGCGAGATCGATGCATGGCCGATCCTAACCTTGACTATGACCTTGCCTATGACGAGCAAGGTTTCGTTCACATTCTTCATTCAACGTTCTTCGACGTCAATCCGAATATCGACAACACCATCGAGGAATACGTGGATCGCATCCTAGATACTCTTGTCGAAGCTATAGAAGAGCAACTTGGCACCGTTCAGTGGAGGGTTGCAACCCAACCGTGATAAAGGTTTACCGATCTTCCTTCTCTTGTATTTTCATTGTCTAACTTGCTCTTGTGATTTGATTGATTCATGAAAATCTTGTTCACTTGTTTCTGCCAAGCATAGTAATCATAGGACTTGAGTTTGGTCTCTATGCTTCTAATCTCATTGTTAGCGTAGGGATTTTGTTTGAAAGCTACTTAATTTTCATGTTATTGATATTCTACGTAATTTTGATAAATCAAGCATTTGGCAAGCGGCTTAGCCTAAACGTAAGCACCCCTCTCTTGTTTTATTTTGTCATTTTGGGTTGCTAAAAGCTTTAATCCTAATTGTTTTATTCAAGAGATCGTGCAATTTCTCAATGCATGCAATTAAAACATTTTAGTCCTGCATCACTACCCCACTCCAAAAAAAAAAAAACTCTCCTTCCACCTCACAAGTAGCCTTCCAACTCTTGCTCGCACATGACCACTCACTCCAAGCATTACGCTGCCCCCCTCATGAACCATCCGGCGTTGATGCCCAAGTAACGACAGACAACGCAGAACCGTCGTCCCATGCACGCCTGCGCGCGACCCCACCGCTTCGGCCTCACATGGCGCCTATAGGCCCACCACCAGCCGCCTCCTCTTCCTCCTCTTTTTCTCTCTTTCCTACTTTCATCTCTCTCCTTCTCGTTCTTTTTCTCTCATACTCCCTCTCTCATCCTATCTTTCTCTCTCTCTAATCAGAGAGAGAAAGATCTCTCTCCAATCTCTCTTTCCTCTCACCTCTCTCTTCCTCTTTCTCTAAATCATAAGAAAATCCTACTCCTCTCTCTCTTTCTCTCTCTAAATATAGAAAAGTCTGCCTTTCACTAGCCCTCTCCTCTCTAAACAGAGAGAGAAACTCATCTTTCTCCCTCAAATCCTCTCTAACCTTGGCTTGCTCTCCCTAAAGTATGGAGAGAAAACGATCATCAACAATGTTCGAGACACCTTGTGTGAATCTTGTTTGCGACGCATTCATCATGGTGAGTGGAGTCTCATACACGCACAGGGGCGGAATCAGCCTCAATTTTGAGGGGTGGCAAATACAGCACAAAAATAATTAAATATTAAAAAAATAATATTATATATCTATATATTACGAAAAGTTTTTTTAAAAAAAATAAAAAATAAAATAAAGAAAAAAATGTGTAATTAAACTATCATGAAAAGCATGAAAAAAAATATTATAGCTAATTGTGAAGAAATATATAGATATTTTAGGGCAAGTTAGGACAAAAAAATTTTTAGGGGGGGGCAAAAATAATTTTTTAGGAGGGGCAAAACTTTTTTTTATTCTCCTATATAAAAAAAAATTGTTTTTACTCCTATCAAAAGAAAAAAAAAATTTTGAGGGGGGGCAATTGCCCCCCCTAAGAAATACATGGTTCCGCCCATGTACACGCACTGCTTAGCATGGAGAGAAAAGCTTGCCAGTGGCATTCGTGAAGCCATCATGAAATTTATTTATTACAAATTATCATACATATACCCATACAAATACTTCTTGGCGTGATGGGATTTTTGAGAATTTTAGCTGCAGTGTTATAGAACAATGGTCATATATGCCTTCCTAGTATGATAAGATGACCCAGACTCCATATAGATTTTTACTACAGAAAGAGACGCCAGGAGACTGTCGAAATTTTGATTAACAGGCTCTAAAAAACACATCAAATGACGTATGCTTGCATCATATAAGTGCACTAAAAATAGTGCGAGTGTACAATGATGGTGCTTTAAAAATTGTATGAGAAAATTATTCCCTTTTCAAATAAAATATTCGCATGTGCTTTGATGAGCATGATGAATACGTAAGAGTGACTTCTAAGAATGATGTGTAGACTGAATAGTAAATATATTTTAAATTTATCGATTCGAGAAATGTGCAAATATGTTGAAATTTCATTACCAATTTAAATTTTAAATCTCTCTCGAAAATGACAAATCTGCATGTGCACCGACCAATGTGAAAAATGCGTGAACTTTAAATTTGAGAATGTTGCTCAGACTAGAAATTAATAAATGAGTTTTAAATTCCACACTCAGAAAAGTGTGCAAATATGTTGAAACCTTATTACCAATTTTTAAGTTCCAAATCTCTTAAAATGAAATGTCTGCATGTGCTCTAACCATTTTTCAAATGATACGACGAGTATATAGTTATGACCAGGGTTAGAATTGAGTGGTTTTATTGTTTAATTATGAAATAATACCATTAAATTACGGTCATTGCTAGAGCCTACATGTTCCGCAATGGTTATAAACCCTTGAATAATGAATCATAGAGTATACTTGATCGGGCTCAAAATTCTCTAATAGTGGTCTTCAACTTGAATTTTCCCTCTTAAATAAACATCCATCTCAAGTCTTTAAGGTACCCTTAAACTAAGTAATCCATGGTTGCTGATAAGAATCCTTCAGTTAAGTTGGGTCGATTATCTTCTTTGTTTATGTAGACAAAAGACCAAAGGACCATGATAAATCGGGATGTCCGAATTCAGGTTGTAAATACCGGACGAGATAGAACTGTAAGAAAGAGAGATTCAAGGTTACATGGTTTGACTAGGGTTGCATTGGGGATTGAATAGGAAGACGTAATAAATATTAAATTTTTTCAAATAATGTCTAAATGAAATACTAATGATGTAATAATATAAATTTATGATTAAAAAATAATTAGAATTTATACATAAATAATATTATTTGTAATTTTAAATTTAAATATCACCAATTTTAAATTTTATTCATAATTAATATAAATTTAGTTCACATATAAACTCATAAAATTAATATAAATTGTTACTAATTTATATTTTATATTTAGATATAATTTACATTTTAAAATTTACATCAAATTCACATAATAAATTTGTATCTATATATCATTCATGTGAGATCATTTATTATTAATAAATAGATAAACAATTAAATTTTATGATTTATAATTATATAAATTAAAAAAATTAAATAGATAAACAATTAAATATTATTAACTAAAAATATAAAAATTATTCATATTTACATTAATTGAAAATTTTGGTTAAAAATATTTGATGTATATGTTGTGAACTTGGTAACTTTAACTTAGTTAATTAGTCCCACATTATTCGAGAACTCTCTCTTAATATTATTTATGTAGCTTTTTAGGTCTTCATATGTTAGGAACTCATATGGAATAATGGGTCATGTGAGAAGGCTTAGTTGATGCTTCTTTGATATATTTTTATAATAGAAATTTAATTCTTATTAAATTTATTATGTTAATTTAAATTATTTAAATAGCTCAATTGAAACAGATGATTTTCGGAAACTTGGAACGATTTGCTAGTTACATGGTCGAACTGGCGGTTCACTATGGTTATAACCAGTCCAATGCTAAAACAGTTTTTAGGTTTGAATGAATTGATTACTTGATCGATTCTAGGTTCAACTAGTTGAACCAGTTGGTCCAATCCAATTCTTAAAATAGTGGACTGAACCATGACATTTTGATCGAGTTCATCATCATTTCTTAACCATCTTAACCATCTGCTTTACAAGATAGTAAATTTTATATTCTAATACAAAAAAAGATTATTACTATTATATGCTTGGTATTTAATGCCTATCTAATGACTAGCCTTAATTAAAAGTTCTTTCTCATCACTGAGAATGATAATTAACCACAGGGCTTGTGCTTAAGGAAAGCTTAGAATCAGATCATACGGTTATCACAAAATGAGGGTCAAATCTTTAAGTAATGCCTTATCTGCAATCCAATTTACACCTAAAAAGCGTGAATAAAACCCAAACCTCTCCCTATATAGGCTGATGTAGGCTGATGTGTGAATTTTCAGAACCCACAGCTTAACATCTCATAAAGGCTTAGCATAAATCACATTATTCTTTCCTTTTTATACTCTACTTGGCGAAATTGATGACATAGTGGCTTTTGAAGTTGTAACAAGAAACTTTCTTGAGAACTCGGTATTGCTTTTTCCTTCAGCCTCCTTTAGTTCAAAAGCATTCTCAATGACTTGTTTTTAGGAGATTGGAAGAGATGAATAGCTGCCATAATATAACTTTTAGTTGCATATTATACCAATTGAGTTGTTCTAACAGGTTCATAAACATACATGCAAATTAGAGAACAATTGTACATTCAGTATCAGTTGGCTTTTAAAAATCAAGTTGCATTATTATTACAAATCATGCTCAACAAGTTGCCATCAATTAAACCAAATCACGTAAAGGAGGTAATCGGTGTTAGGAATATGTTTTAGGTTTTATGTGATGATAAATGTAATAAGTAGCATAGTAGTCATTGTGTACTCCTTATATATCTCTCCCTTGTAGAGTAGTATGCATCAAGAAATAAAATGAGAAGCCCCTTTTTCCTGTGCTCTTCTTTTTCCACAATTCCTAATTTCTAGAGTTTCAATTGAGCTCAAAATCATCGTTTATCCATTAAGATCCCCAGGGTCGTAACATTCGGCAAGTCACCTCTTAAACTTGACAAGGGAACTTGGCATTTATTGTTTGATGCCAAATTCTACTTGCCGATGAATTCGTTAATTGAACTCATCAAGGCTACTGTCCCAATAATGTAGAACTCAACAAATAAACTTAAGTATACCAAAACTACTTGACAGAGCTAAAAAAAGTTGCAAAGAATTCTTCATAATTTTCATTCTCGAAATTCTTGTCCACTTCTTAGAGCTCATCATGAGTTTTCTGTTTTATTTGCCTGAGTATACCAAAAATACTCCCCAACAAAAAAGAAGAAGAAGAAATCGTCGGAGATTTCATCATAACTTCCATTCTCAAAAATCTTGTCCTCTTCGTAGAGCTCATCATGCATTTTTTTATGTATTTTGATAGATATAAGCTAACTTGACATTCATTTTACAACATACGTTTGTTAAGCCTTAGGCCATCTCCTATTCAAAACCTCATTTTCCACTAAAAAATGCAGTAACACTCCAATATGCAATTACCCATCTCCAACCGAACTCAATTTCTTAGTACCAAAAAATAATATTCTGTGTATATTCTTTCTCATCTTTTTTTTTTTAATATTTATTTTTAATCATATCTTTATATTTATCAATTTTTCAAATTAGACCTACTTATAAATGTTTTTAACCAAAATAAATCTTACTCGATAAAATAAATAAATAAATAAATTACTAAAAAAGATTAATTTTAAAAAATGAATAACCTAATGTAAATAAATTAATTACATAAAAATATATTAAAATTTTAAAAATAATGCGTTTATAAATAATTAATTAACTTAATAACGGAATTTTCTGAATTAAAAAAAAAAACGTTTGTGAATAGTGCGACGCCAATATAGTCCGCGCCTCGTGAAATTGCCGTGGGGTTTCACATTTCATTGGAGCTGGCGGCAGACAGCATATGCACGTAACGCTCTTGGTTGGAGATGACCTTATTATGTAATTTTACTTATATGTAACTAGTCTTTTAGTATTGTACCTTTAACTATACCTATAAGGTCAGAGGATTAGTCTAGTACACCAAGTCATTTTCTCGCATTGGTCTTGTACTTTTTGATGGTTTGGTGAAAATCCCAGAGCTTCTCTCACCAAAAACTCTGTTTCTTCTCCTCTTTTCTCTCATTTTCTCGATATATTCTTGTTAGGAAGGTTCTGATGTTACCCAAGGACAATTTAGGGTCCAAAATAGTGCATTTTAATTAAATGAAATGGTTATTATTTTAGATAAGCTTGTTCTGATCTACAGTGCTTTCCGTGGACAAAAATATAAACTATAAAAAGGATAATTTGATACCTCATATGAACTTGATTATTATCGCTTCATCATTTTAATTTGTTTGTAACATATTTATTCTTCTCCTTTCCGTTGAAATCAGGGTTTTGGAAATGTGGGCTCATGGGCTGCCCAACTTATCAGCGAAGCTGGTGGAAAAGTTGTTGCAGTTAGCGATGTTAGTGGGGCAGTTAAAAACGACAGTGGTCTGGATATTCAGAAGCTACTTAAGCACTCACTTGAGAGTCGTGGTGTTAAAGGTTTCAGTGGTGGACATGCACTCAATCAGAACTCAGTGTTGATTGAAGACTGCGATGTCCTGATTCCAGCTGCACTTGGTGGCGTTATAAACAGGTTCCTCTTTTTGCTTAACTTTTACTCGGTGAATATTTGCTCTAGGAAAAGACTGACTGTCTGAACAACTTTCAAAGCATTCCATTATTTCTAGAAATCGTTTGCATTGCAGTTTAAAATACATTTATACTCTCAAAAGAGGTACAAATCTTAATTGCTGTCATGTTGGTAGTCTATGTGGTTGGTAATGTTGCGTTGTATTGAGTAGGGGTGTCAATTTTTTACACGACACAAAACACAACCCGAACCCGACCCGGAAAAATCCGGGTTCGGGTCAACCCAAACCCGAAACGGGTCGGGTTCGGGTTGAAGAAATCAACCCGTTTTAAAAATCGGGTCGGGTTCGGGTTGACACGGAAACACGAAATTGACCCGAAAGTGACACGAAAACTCATATTTGACCCGAAAATCCGAGTTTGACCCGTTTTTGACCCGATTTTGACCCGATTTTGACCCGAAAAATGAAGATTGACCCGATTTTTGACCCGAAAACTAGCAATTCCGGGTCATTCGTGTCGGGTCGGGTTGACCCGAACCCGAATTGGGTCGGGTTGACCCGAACCCGAATCGGATCGGGTTCGGGTCCAGAAACCTGACCCGTTTTTAAAAACGGGTCGGGTTCGGGTTGACCCGAACAGTGCCGGGTCAGTTCCGAGTTCGACCCGAACCCGACCCGTTGACCCGAATTGACACCCCTAGTATTGAATTACTAAATTGACATCCCTTCTTAATCAGTTGACATGACACTTTTTTATGTTACTGAGTTATACCTCTCTCCTTATATCCCACAAAATAGAGAAATTATTCTGTGTGGACGCCGAACGTAGTTCTCCATCCGGATGCCAACTAGAATGTGCCACATCAGCAGTACCGAGCATATATCGAGTGGTACCGAGTGCAGTACCAAGCCGCGGTACCGAGAGGGGGTGACATAACGCATTCTAGTTGGTTTCTGGACGGCATACTGCGTCCGCACAGAATAATTTGCCCACTAAACAAGGCAAACCTTGTTTTGGGGTTAAATACTGTAGTTTTAGGTAAAATCTCTTGTTCATAGGTGAAATATCTTGTTTCTGAGTTTTTGAAGATGAATTTGATATTAATTTTTAAGTGGATATAAGGCGACAGTTAGTAGGTACCAGTTTAAATAAAGATTTATTACTAGTATAGTGTTTTCTTTCACTATACTCATGTATTATTGATATTAGAGTTGTGCTGATGGAATAATGCCTGCCAATTATTATCCTCATTTCAAGGGAAAATGCAAATGACATAAGAGCTAAATTTATTATTGAGGCTGCCAATCATCCAACAGATCCAGAAGCTGACGAGGTTAGTCTTTTAGGCTTCGTTTGGGAAGGCTGTTTTTTCCCAAACAAAGCCTTAGTTATGAAAATTTATTAAAGAACTAGCAGCATTTAGGACTTCATCATTTCTATTCTATTTTTTCATAATAAGAGCTTGCTGAGATACTTGATCATTTTTGTTGTTGTTTTTTTTTTTTTTTTTCAGATTCTGTCTAAGAAAGGTGTAATTATTCTACCGGACATATTTGCCAATTCAGGTGGCGTTACTGTGAGTTATTTTGAGTGGGTTCAGGTAGGTCTTATATGTTTCAATATTCTACCCTCCATTCCCTATCGGATAAATAAATTAATTATTGTGCTCATACAAAAACAGTCGGCTATTTTAGTTTCATGTTAGCCAACTTTCTTCTACTGATCTTATCTGTTGAGCGCTAGAAGCAATATTGACCACTTAATATAGATAATAAATATCATGGTTCATGATAGCAGACAATCGTTGATTAGTGTTCATAAATTGGTTCAGAAATTCACACTGTAGAACACCACCAATTTGAGGCTCCTAGTCCTAAAAGACTGCTGCAAATAAAGCTTTATGTGGTGGTTGTATATTGATGGTAGCAAAATCTTAAAATGCAGCCTATGAAGCATGAATTTCTGTAAGGGTTTGTTGAATCCTATGATGCACCGACACTTCTCCTCAAAGAGGCGTGCAGTGTCCGACACCGTGTCCGACACGACACTCGTCCGACACTCCTCCGACACGTGTCGGACACGCCGAAAATGTGTCCAATTAAAAAAATATTAAAAACAAATTGGACACGCGTGTCTGACATGCGTATCTTAAATATTTTATAATTTTTTTAAAATATAATTTCTTATATTTTGCGAGATTTAAACTAAATTTTTTATTTCATATCCACAACACCAAATCAACGTCTGCATTTAATACCAATTCATCGAATATTCTCATTTTCATTTCTTTTTGGCAGTAAAGGTATTTTCATCTCCTATTTTTTTGCACAATTACAAATCTTTCTCTTGTTGAACCAGAGTTGAAAGTAGTGATATTCAATGTGTTATGCCGGCCCAGGAGGGGCCGGCTGGACCGGTCCAACCGGGACCGGTCCGGGTCTACTCGCGGCGGAACCGCACGAAGCAGGCGGAACCGAGCGCAATCAGCGAAGCCGACGGGGGCCAGGGAGGATTTTTGGGAGGGAAATTTTGAATGCGAGGGGCTGTTTAGACATTTTGTAAAACTCCTTTAGGGTTAATTAGGAGGTTAGGAGGAGGAGGGGGGTTTATGTTGCATTTGAATGAGTTTTGAGATCTAGGGTTTGGTGTTCTTGGACTCTTGGCTTTGCCGGAGATCGTGGGAGAGTTTTTCCTTCCTCTCGAATTGAAGGAAAGTTGTATCTTGCAAGTGCTTTTCCTTTCTTATTGGAATACAAGTGTTTGCCTTGATTTTCTACAAGTTTCTTCTCGGATTTCCACTGTTT